CAGAAGGTAGTATGAATCAAAGAAGGTATCAATGAATGTGATGCTTAGATCGGCACATCTTTTTTTTTTTTTTTAAATTTTTGAAATTTTCTATCCGTGAAATCATTTGACTTTCCAGATTTTTTTTAATTGGTTTCACATTTTTTTTTTTTTTTTTAAATTTTTGAAATTTTCTATCCGTGAAATCATTTGACTTTCCAGATTTTTTTTAATTGGTTTCACATTTTTTTTTTTTTTTTTAAATTTTTGAAATTTTCTATCCGTGAAATCATTTGACTTTCCAGATTTTTTTTAATTGGTTTCACATTTTTTTTTTTTTTTTTAAATGTTTGAAATTATCTACTCGTGCAATCATCTGACATTCCAGTATTTTTATAATTGGCTTACACATATTTTTCTTTATTTAGGCAATACCTTAAAATACCATTGTAAACAGTATGGTGTTGTTCCTTTCCCCCAGTTCTAACCAGCATGACATTTATTTCTAAGCAACTATCAGTGTGTAAAAATAACCCTAGATCCAAATGATAATTTGAAATGAAATAATCATTCACATTTTAAGTAACATAGCAGAACTCTATTCATAGTGTTATAATTCTCTCCAAGGTATTAAAAATGGCAAAGGCAAGGCATTAAAAATGGCAAAAAAAAAAAAAAGGTATCTTTGGATCACTTTGGATCGTTTAATGAACAATACAGATATTCTAACTATTGCTATTTAGCATCATCCATTCAAGTTAGAGCAAAGTGACTTGAGTTTCTAAGTCATGGATTTGGGCTAGCAGGATTTCCTCCTTAATGTTAGGGGCAGTGATTGGTTCCTCTCCTCCTTTTCCTTCTGAAAGGGGTATAATGTGTATAGTGGTAAACTTTATTCACACAGGAGACTCAACAGACTTTCTGCTCTGATCTTTCAACAGCCTAGGACTCTTTCTTTAGCGAAGGGCCAGATGAGCTTCTTCCATAATTTGCCTCATTAATACAGAAAAGCAGGGTGGGTGTCTTCTTCTCTTAGCCAGGACTTGGGTGGTGGTTTTAAACTGCATGTAGCCATCTTCTACTGTACCATACCCTCCCTCCCAAATAGCCAATAGGTCCTGGGCAGTAGCATGTGGCTGGAAAAAGGACAGGGACAAAACCACAACTAGGGCAGGGTTTTTAAAAACTTTCTGAAATTCTTTACTCTCCCCTCTCCACAGATTTCATCCACTGATATTTGAGTAGCAAAAATGAAAACAAAACAAACCCCTATCCTTTATCAATCCTTTCTTCCCCAAAGGTGGGGATGGGTTTTACTCCAGAAAAGGGACTTATATCATGATGAGGTTTCCAACATCTATTATTTACATTATGGTGTCCAGCAGTTTCATAGAATAATCATCTGCTGGTTTATCTGAGAATCTTTTTCTTCCAATACTGCAAAATTGCAGCCTCTTCTTTTAGAAAGCCCTGTAACTTTTCCTCAAATAATTGGGCTCCTAGAGGAAGACACATTTCCCAAACAAGTTACCAAAGTACATGCCCAACATGTCATAATGTTCATAATGTCACACAGTAGTAAATCCCCCACTTCTGTAGAATTTGTACCATAAACCCTTCACCAAAACCCTTGCTCCTAATTTTTCTGTTGTTGTTTAACTCTTCTTTAGTTCTTGCTCAACTGTGCGAGAGTACATGTCTTCAGGGAATTCTTTTACTGTAAAAATGTATTTCACATCTATTCTATGCCCCCACACCAATTTTTAAGAGCAACAACATTCACTTTACTACCTATAATTGTTCAGAACTAAATGGGGGGAGGGGGGAGTCAAATTTCTGCAGAGTGATCTCCCTGGCTACAGCAGCCACTAAAAAAGCGGGTGATCTCAGTGGTGCCTTTATGGATTTATGTTGCTCTGTGGTAACACAAAAGCCAGTCTTGAGTTCAAGTGCTGATTTTCTACAATGAATCTTCAAGCAGGGTCTTTTTCAGCATGTATTTCCATCAAGCCTGCTCAACACCTTCCACCATCAAGGAGGTTCCAAGAGTTGATTCCTTCTCTTCAGGAACATCCAATAAGAAAAGATATCCCACCTCCAGATTTGAACTTTAATAGCATGAACAGTAGCACACAAGTAGATTATAACTTCAAACAACA